AAAGTCTGGGCTGGAGTCCGCTTTTGAAAATCTTCGTCCCATCAGTAATTTAGCATATATTTCAAAGCTTATTGAACGAGCAGTATATAATCAAACGCACGATCATATCCTTCGATGTGGCTTTTATCCAGTTTTGCAATCTGCTTACCGGCGGTATCACTCCACAGAGACTGCGTTACTCAAAGTACTCAATGACATTTTGTTGAGCATGAACAGTCAACGTGTCACTCTCTTGGTTCTTCTGGACCTAAGTTCCGCTTTTGACACAATTGATCATGGAATTTTGCTGGAACGGTTAAGGTCAAAATTTGGAATACGTGGAACAGTTCTCAGTTGGTTTTCTTCCTATTTGTCTGGTTGAAGTCAACGTGTTATGCTAAATGGTACCCTTTCTGATTCATCTGATTTGAACTTTGGTGTCCCGCAGGGTTCGTGTTTGGGGCCTCTTCTTTTTATATTATATGCCTCCAAACTGTTCGATATTATTAACAATCACTCGCCAGATTTACATGGTTTTGCTGATGACACTCAGTTGTATGTGTCATTCAAACCTGACTACCCATGCGATCAATGTGAAGCGATCTCGGTAATGGAAAGCTGTGTCAACGATCTTCGGAAATGGATGATTCAAGATAAATTGAAACTAAATGACGGTAAAACTGAACTGTTAATAATTGGATCTAAGCAGCAACTGCACAAACTTAACCCATGCCATGTACGTGTCGGGAATGCTGATGTCCTTCCTGTACCAATAGCTCGTGATCTAGGAGTTTGGCTTGATTCAAATTTAAAAATGTCATGTCATATAACAAAGACATGTGGTGCCGCATTCTATTGGCTTCACAACATCAAACGCATCAGCAAGTTTTTATCTCGGGAAAATCTGTTGACTGTTATACACGCCTTTGTTACAAGTCGACTAGATTATTGTAATGGTCTCCTGTATGGTTTACCAAATACTGAACTGATTAAGTTGCAGAGGGTTCAAAACGCCGCTGCGAGATTAGTGACTTCAACACGAAAATACGATCACATTACACCTATATTACGTGAACTACACTGGTTACCTGTGAAGTTCAGGATCCATTTTAAACTGCTATTGCTTACTTTTAAAGCTTTACATGGAATGGCTCCAAAGTACATAGTAGATCTACTCGTTGTTAAAGTGGAAGGAAACTACCTTTTACGCTCTAATGATAGCATAATGCTAGAGTTCCCTAAGGGTAAATTTTTACGGTCATTTGGCGACCGATCTTTCACTATGGCAGCTCCGAAACTTTGGAATGAACTTCCGAAAGAAATTCGTGACATTTCGTCAATAAACGTTTTTAAAACTTGTCTTAAGACTCATCTTTTTAAACTAGCTTTTAGTATTTAGTTTATATTAAAGTTAACATTTCAACATTTTAATACGCTTTTAACATTAGTTATATTGTAATGCAGCGCTTTTGATCATTACATGTAAAAAGCGCTTTATAAATTATTAAATTATTATTATTATTATTATTTTAGTCTTCTATATTTACTGTTGTCATCTAGTTACAATCCAGTGATCAGAATGTTCCGTTGTCTTTTCATTTATGCTTTGAAAATCTCACTGTTCTGTATGCCATCCATCCAGTCACTCATCAGTGCTGACCAGTGAACTAAAAGTTATTTTTAGTTCAATGGTGCAGACTACAGACTACAGATCAGTGGCAGGTGGCAGCCGTGATTACAGCTGAATGCAATTTATGCAAATTATGTCTAATTATATTATACATTATTTAATCTGGGCGATCTGGGGAAAAACCAGATATTGATACTCTGATTCGAAAGCAAATATACAAAACATTTCGTTGCAAATAAAATATCAAAATTTGAAAAGTTCGTAAAAACATTGATTTGTATTCCATATATAAACTAGTGTCGCTGCACAGAGCTAGATTATGTCGTATTTTTTTGAAAACATCCTGTGATGAGTGATGTTTGTAAATCGAAACCAAACTTAACTTTCGCTGAATCATGTGATATTGTTTTCGCCTATTCTGGTTCCGCTTCCGTATGACAATGACTTGTGGTTATTTCCCGTGAAGTTGCAATAACTTGAGAATTCTAAGGAAATTATTTCAGCATTTAGCCGCAATTGTAAAGCGAACAGTGCGGTTGAAAGGTGCTTGGAATCTTAACCAAATCGAGTTTTTTGTGTGGACTTGAAAATTTAATTCCATTCATTTGTAATCTTGGAAGCGTAGTTCTTGGAAAAACATGGCTGCGACTCTACACGGTAGATGTTTTCTCGGGATGAGTTTTCAAGTAATTTGTGTACTTGCAACTTTGGTTTTGTTTGCCAATGCAGACAAAGGTAAGTTCCCGAAGGTCTAGTTTAGATTTTAGTTCAATTTTGACCTGAAAGTCACAGTATTTTACACATAATTACACGTTTTGAAAGCATGACACAAAGCAGCTAATTGTCGTTGTGCGTTTGTTATTAGATATTAATGAGACCAAATATAAGTATATAATCTTGAATGTTCTAATAGATTATATGCGTTTTAAACTGAGTAAAAAAAACACTAATCTATTGCTTATTAAATGGTTTGCAATTGTGCCAGTGGCGTAACGTTATATCAGGGGGCCCCCGGTTCAAAATTTTCGAAGGCCCCCCTAGTACTAGAGGTGCCAAAGGCACGAGTCGAGCGCCGTATATGCACGAGTTTTCTAGGGGGTCCAGGGCATGGTCATCCGGAAAATTTTTTAATCTAGACTCTC